TTCACTCTCCTGACTGTTTCTTTTGCAGTACAGAAACTTTTCAATTTGATGCAATTCCAATAGTTGATTTTGGCTTTGACTGCCTGTGCCTCCCGGGTCTTTTCCGGAGATTCTTTGCCTGTGCCAATATCTTGAAGGGTTTCTCCAATGTTCTCTAGTAACTTGATGGTGTCAGGTCGTAGATTTAGGTCCTTCAGTCTCCCACTGGGTTGCCAAAGTTATGGAATTGTAGCGTCTCTGGAGAGTACTCACATGAATTCCGTGAGTTCTCTCCCCCACCGTCTCTTTTTTCACAGTCTCAGTTCAGTAGCACCAGAAATTTACTAGGTCCTAATCTCCTGTTAATTCGCCCCACCCAGAGTCAGGTTTTTCTGCTAGGCTCAGGGCCGGTGCAGACCTGAGGTTGCTCTGCTTATGACGTATGTCCAAGATGGCGCCTGCTCTTTGTCTTGATTGCCCTTGAGAGGTGAGCAGAGAGAGAGAAACCCGTGTCCGTACCAGTCACCTTTTTTTTCTCTCTCTCTCTCTTCCAGTTAGCCTGGTGAACTTTCCCCCCAGGGGTCTTTCCCTCTAGTCTCCTCTCTCCGCTTGCCTGCCGGTGTCTTGGGCTATTGAGGTTCAGCTCACCTCGCGTTCCAGCGCTGGTGTGTTGAGTCTGCCGCTGGTGTCCCGAACTGTGGGCTCCCACGCTCTCCACGCAGGTCCACTGTGAATCACGCATTCCAGAAGAGTTTCTTCTGCTATTTCCTCCCCTACTCTTCCTTGAACCTGCAGTATCTCCACTTTTATTAAACTGTCTCTCCCCGGACTATCAGTGTGCTCCCTTCCTACTTCCGCCATCTTGCGTCCTCCCTATCCAACTGAATCTTTTTAAAACCCTTGGAATATGAAACTTGAGTTCTCATTTCTTACATGTAAAACACATCAGATATTCCATGAAGTACATGCCTTGACCAATCCCTGTAACTAATAGCTCAATGAAGATTCAATCTTCCTAAGTGTCTTCTAATAACATTCTTACGTTTTCTGAGAGTCAAGATATGAATTTACACTCAGGCTATGTAAACTAAACAGGACTTCAGCAGGGAACAGAAATTACACATCAAGTATACACATACCGAAAAGTAAACAGTACAAAGAGATGAACTTTACTGTAATTATTTCTAGAAAGAGAAAATTATCAGCATGTCTATTTCTCAAGGGGGGAAGAGAGGGAAGGAGTAAGGAGAGGTCAGGGCAAAGGGGCCATGGAGAGAGGGGACAGTTAGTTCTCTGAAGGCACTTAGCTCACTGGCCAGGCACAGGATAAGAGGTCAGCAAATGACCATGTATGGTACATCCGTACGTTGGAGTGAGTCCTCTATAAGGACATAAACAGTATGGTCAGAACCAAGAAAAACACATCAGGTATCATTAAGGCCACGGTAGGTTTGTTTGGAAGATCTACTGGAATCAAATCATTTTACCAGTGGACCTCAGAATACCGGAGTCATGTAAAGTACAGAAAACTGATATCTAAACTATAAAGTGATTTGCCTGTCATTACAACATAAGGACTGCCATGACAGAGATGATCTCCTTAATAAAACTTAATAAAAAACTCACAATTCAACTGTGCTGCTCAGTAACTTGCAGCAAGTTCTTTTGAGCAGAAACACATAAAGTCATTTAAGAATAATTACTGCTAGCGATTTGGACTGTACATTAAGAGCTCTGTGTTGTGGAAAGAAGCAGCCATCAAAGAAGGATGTACTTTTCTCTGACAGGAGGAGAGAACTTCCACTTTGCTCATGGTCTTGTCTAGATACTAATGGGGACTGTGGATTCAAATGCCTTCCACAGCCTCGGCAGCTCATGGCAAGAGTCTTGGGTGGTCACTGACATCATACATAAGAATGTATGACAACAGGAGTCACTGTGCACTAACTTCCCATGCAGGACCTCTGTCCTCACTGAGTTGTATTAGGAGAGTTAACTGTAAAACTTGTTCTCAAATAGTTTTTTTAAAATATTGTGTGTATGTGAGTGTGCAAATTGTTACAATCTTTGCATAATATAGAGTTGGTCTTCTGTGTATAAAGTTAACCAAAAACAAATCTTAATGGAGAATAGGACTGGGAATGGGAGAGAGAGGAGGTGCAGTGGAAGTGGGGGTGGGAAGGCAGGTATGGTGAGAACAATCACTATATTCCTGAAGTTGTACTTATGAAATTTGTACTTACTAAATAAAAGTTTTTTAAAAAAAGTTCTGTGTTTTAGTTACAAATACTATAAATAGTGGTAAATGATATATAAATGTAAAATTCTAATATATTTAAGATATATACACATTTATTAAATATTCCACATAAAATACTGCATTATATATATATATCTTTTTCATTATCTTTTGCAGATAATTTGATTCTATAGAAATTAACTGAATTCCAGTTAGAATGGTTATGTGGTGAAATTTAACCTAAATCTTAAGACTACATTTGCAAATCAAAGATAGGTTTCTGGGGCTTGGCATTGTGGCAGAGTGGGTTAAGCAGCCCTGTGCAATGCCAGCAAACCACCTGGGCATCGGTTCCAGTCCTGGTTGCTCCACCTCTGATTCAGCTCCCTTCTATTGTGCCTGGGAGAGCAGTGGAAGGTGGCTCAAGTCTATGTGCCCCTGCACCCTTGTGAGAGACCCAGAGTGCCGGGCTCCTGGCTATGACCTGGCCTAGCCCCCACCCATGTGGCCATTAGGAGAACAAACAAGCGAATATACAATCTCTTCATCTTTGTCTCTCTGAAACTCTGCCTTTGAATTAACCAAATTTTTTTAAAGATATATTTATTTATTTAAAAGTCAGAGTTACACAGAGAGAGGAGAAGAAGAAAGAGAGAGAGAGGTCTTCCATCCGATGGTTCACTCCCCAATCGGCTCCAACAGCCAGAGCTGTGCCAATCTGAAGCCAGGAGCTTCTTCCGGGTCTCCCACAGGGGTGCAGGAGCTCAAAGACTTGGGCCATCTTCCATTGCATTTCCAGGCCACAGCAAAGAGCTGGATGGGAAGTGGAACAGCTGGGTCTTGAACTGGTGCCCATGTGGGATGCCAGTGCTTCAGGCCAGTGCGTTAATCTGCTGCGCCACAGTGCCTGCCCCAAATAAATATTTTTTTAAATAGGTTCTTATAAAATTCTCAAAGTCAGATTTGAACAAAGGGTACTTCCTAAGCTGGGGCTCTGCTTACACACTGACTTGTAGCAGAAAAGGTATTGGCATTCCCGCCAGCACAGGCAGCACTGGGAGGAGGAAGCGTGCAAGCTGAGAGCAGGAACCTCGAGGTCGACAGCAGTGGAGATGTATGACGACAAGATTCGTTAAGGTCACCACTGTTCTTGCACTGCAGAAGCCCACATGCCCAGGTTAACACAAAGGATTTCCAAAAGAGGAACATGATTAACTCACAGTGATTTCAGGGGTAACACAGTCAAGCGACTATTACTGATAGACTCAATAAACTACAACTCGATCCACACCACTGACCAAACGCACGGAAATTTCTTAATAGACGCATGCCTCTCACATGCTCACAAGGGACAAGAAAGAACAAATTGTGAAGGGCGTTCTTAGCCTTTCAGACTTGGTTGCTCTGACATGCAAACCACAGCCTCATCATGGAGCCTCTCCCTTCAGCATACAAAGCATGTGCCTGGGGTTATCCATAGTCCTCCTTTCCTTTTCTTCAACTGTCTCCTACGGCTATTAAGCCTTTGACACAAGACAAAAAAGATCTATTTGTATAACAAAATCAACTCTTGATTTCCCCATCTTCTAAAGATTAAAAATTTGCAGATGCTGGAGGATGAAGGAGAGTTGGCAAACTCCTTTTTCTAGTTAGTACTTCTCTAACTTTATGGATGCCACCTGAGGCTTCAGAGTGGGGTTCAAGATACCCACACAGGAAGGGGTGTCCAAAAAGCTTATGAAGATGCATATTATGAACAAAACGGTGCATGGACTCCCAAGGCGTCTCGCACCCAAGTAAGCTTATCTTTTCCTTTCATTTGCCCACAAACCATCGAAAGCCCTCCCTTGCCCAAGGACTTCCTGTTTAGGCAGGTACTGGTATTTGTTCCTTTGTTTTATCTCATTAGAGCGAGAAAGGCCAAGCTGTGTCCTCTGTGACACTGGCCTGGGTCTCCTGGCCCCTCCTTCCCGGTGCTCTCCTCAGCCTGATGGTGATGCCTCAGGGAGGTGGCCTGGGAAACCATCCGCTGAACTGTCATTCGGAAGTGGTTTACCTGGGTGATGCCTCCAACTATCACTCCCCATCAACTCCCCCCACACACTCCACCTTCCTCTCAATGTTTCTGTGTGTGGTAAATACAGGGGAAAGTGGACGTTTGATCCTGTGGAACAAGGAACCCTATTCTCCGTCTCCACCTGTGCTTGCTTAGGTTAACACAGGACCAACCAGATTAAAAACAGAAACAAAACTGGGAAGATCTCCCTGTTGGCCTGAGTGCAAGAATGCACAACGCATTACCGGCACAGGATAGGTCCTGGAAGGTGCTGAGAATGGCCACAGTGTCTGTTCCTGAAATGCATTCCTGCCCAGAAGCCTGGGGGACAGCAAGTGACCGTTCCCCCCACTCCTGCAGGTCACCCTGTGATATGCTGCATTCCGTTCACATTCTACAGTCAGCACCCACATTCTATCAGGCCCTCCAGACTTCACCCCCTTTAAAGATAACACAAGGTTCTGCAGGTTGGGCAAATAAAAACACTCAAGAAAGTATACGTAACAGCTCCACCTACGACCATTAATGGTACAACGAAGTCCCTTCTCTTGGTTAGAGATGCAGCTTGTCCCACAAATGACAGCAGTGGGATGTACACAGTCTAAAACAGAAGAGCGAGAGGTGCAGCATTGCGAGCTCAGCTCAGTGGCTGGGCTCCGCGTGGGAGCACCTGCCACACACCGTCAGGAATGCCTAAGCAACGAACAATCTCACAGCATTACTTACCATCCCTTGATGTAGTCAAGGAAAGAAACTTCCGTTTCTACCAAGAAGGAGCGTAACATTACCTGGAAAAGAAACCCAGAATTAGCTCTAGCAGAACTAACTGTAACCCCGAAGGACATTTTTCCCCTAAAGGACACAGAGAAAACCCTACTTCCTAGCGTTTGGAAAAAGCACTAAATATATGATAGTTTATTAAAATCTGCTAGGACTGACTGCTCTTACGTTGAAAATTAGCAGAAGAGACTGGACCAGAAAAGAAGAAAAAATTAACTCCTTTCTATGACCAGTTTTCTCGCTTTGAAGAACAGCTTGAAAATTATCTAAGAGGACACTGTGCTCCTTCTGATTTTAGATCAAAGGGGAGATGAAAGGGCGCTGGAAAATGGTTCAAACTGAAAACCCAGAGTCAGTGAGCCACCCTGCAGAGGGAGGGGCCCGGCGCTTCTGACTCGGCTCTGTGCACGATCATCTACCCTGTGGGTGTCCTGCCTCTCGGGAATCCTTACACAGGAACGCAGAGAAAACTCAGATTTTGCCTCTCCAAAGGAAAGTTAATCTCAGGGGGAAAATTTCAGTATTTTATTACTCAATAAGAAGATTTCTTTTTTTTTAACACAATTTTCAGATACATTCATCTTTGCACCCTACTGCACTGATTTAGCACAGCATCCATTCCCACAGTTGTAACGCTTAATGCATTATCAACAAGCACCTTCACACCCGTAAAATAAATCTACTTAACAGTTAAGGGAAACATTAAGGGTATGGTCTTTCTACCTTTTTTAAAAAATTTTATTTGACAGATATAGTTAGACAGAGAGAGAGAGACAGAGAAAAAGGTCTTCCTTCCGTTGTTCACCCCCCACCACAATGGCAGCAACAGCCGGAGCTACGCTGATCTGAAGCCAGGAGTCAGGCGCTTCTTCCTGGTCTCCCATGTGGTGCAGGGCCCAAGTACTTGGGCCATCCTCCATTGCCCTCCCAGGCCACAGCAGAGAGCTGGACTGGAAGAGGAGCAACCAGAACTAGAACCTGGTGCCCATATGGGATGCTTGCACCACAGGCAGAGGATTATCCAAGTGAGCCATGGCGCCGGCCCCAGGTCTTTCTAAATATGACTTGAACTTTTCCATGTCTGCCTGATTCTCTGTACTCTGACTCCACTGAAGAACACGTGAGATTCCCTCCAGGAACTCAGCCCACAGGAGGACCTGCAGGAAGCCAGGCCACCAGCCCCAGCGGGTGTGCTCCCCTGTGATCACTCCCTAGGCAGGCGACTCCTGTGTCATGTTCACAGTGCAATCCTACGTGAAACAAAGCCCCAGTCTTACTTGTTTCCAGCCTGATTTAAAATGTCCACTTGGGCTTTATTCATTAATTTTAATGTTTAATGGGTAACACAAAAATTGACTTACTGTTCCAGAATTCGTATACTTTTTCTTTTTTCCTTTCTTTTTGGGATTCACCACCTAAAAAAACAGATGAAACAATTCAAACCCGTTAGGTAATTTTGAAGACGGTAGTTTAATCGGCTGCCTTGGCGTCTGGTGCAGGTATTGCTTTACAAATGCTTTGAGGACTCCTGGCCAGTTATCTGGGCACTGCTTCTCTGCACACTTGCTGGGGAGACTCGGGAAAGAGAGCTTCGTTTGTCAGAGGTACTCTCCTCACTCACTTGATGCACTGAGTATCTTTTACCATCTGCTTCTTGGGAACAGGTTGTTAACATCCAAGGCCCACAATAATTATTATTACTTTCTAGAAAATTTAAAGTGATGCATATCTAAGAAATGTAGCTTGTTAGAATTAAATACCCTAATACAACAGATCACCCAACATGTGAGTATCTAAGAGGTTTACCAACCTATCAATTGCTTCATCATGTTAGTAATTTCCACGGAATGCCCATGCTACCTAGTAGGTAGTCTATTTTATTGACACAAGACTGATTTTTTTTTTTTGACCATTGGTTTCGCGAAGAAGTATCAATGCAGTATCAATGCACTCCTACATTTGAACAAAATTGAAGGCACCAAGGAACAAGAGAGTGCCACCTGTCAATCTCACAGGATCAATAAAATACAGTAGTGCCTTAAGAGGCTCTGCCAGCTCTTCTCAATCCACAGCATGGGGACAGCACTTGACCGGGAAAGAAAGATGAAAGACTTTATGAGTAAGTACTATTTGAGCCAGAATTTATTAACGTAAACCAGGGTTCCAATAAAAATGAAATGAACAAAGACAGCAGTCTAGAAAGGGTTTGACTGAAACAGAGGTCACAGACAAACAGATTCAAAATGAGTCTGAAAAAGTGAGCGGGAGCCATGTTGAGGAGATCCTAAATATCAGAGCGCAGGGTTGGGACGCTCTTCAACTGAGGTTTCAACCAGAGCACGGTCTACTCAGTCGACAGCACAGAGATCCACGTAGAGAAACTGGAGACAACAGTCAGGATTCTATTTCTAACCACCTCTGAAGAGGTAACGAGGCACTGGATAAAGCAGTGCCAGGAAGCCTGGCTCCCAAGGAGAACTCAGAAAACAGATTAAACTGGATTAGGACCACCACTACAGAGGGCCTATGTCAGCTGTACTTCATATGTCTGCCTCTCCCATTACACACTGACATTTTCTAGTCATCTTTGTATCCCCAGAGGGATACACAAAATATGGACTATGGAAGACATTTAGTAATTTTTACAAGTGTACAAATTAGTGTGTGGAATACTTAGTGCAGTAAGAAGGTGGTAGGTGAAGGAGACTCCTTCACTTTTAACTTAAAAGAGGCCAATTTTAATGTCCACTCGGCAGAGAAAGGTTATTATTCTTGACGAAACACTAATAATAATATTTTCCTTTGACCTCCACAAGTATTAAATTATAGGAACACAGCAATACCACAGCTCAAGGATGAACAGTGCTAAACTACGCCAGGTGTCCCAACACATGCTTGCTGATCAACTAGTGGAGTGCTTTAAGGCAGAAGTAACTACTGTGGACTTGCTTTAATAAATGGATTTTTTTAAGATTTATTTATTTCAAAGGCAGAGACATACAAAGTGAGGAAGAGACGGAAAAAGAGATCTCTTCACTAGTTCGTTCCCTAAGCCAGGAGCCAGGAACTCCATCCTGGTCTCCCATATGGGAAGTGGGCCCAAGTACTTGAGCCATCCTCTACTGCATTCCAGGCCCATTAGCAGGGAAGTGGATCAGAAGATCAGCAGGGACTTCACTGGCATTCCAAATAAGGGCGCCAGAGGTGTCACAAGCAGCAGCTCAATCCAGGGCCACACTGCAGGCCCCAGCATGATTTCTTATTGACTGTGCATGGCCTTGTCACTCCCTCTAGTTTGCACGTGAATGAGAGCGAAGGCACTCTGCAGATCACAGGCCACTGTGCAGTGCCACTGATCACAACTGAAGCACATTCTCTTTTCTTATTAGGGAAGTTTTGGTGGGCAAGTTGGTAGGAAGACAAAATATAAAAGATGAAGCTTAAAAAATTAACATATCCATACTTAATTTTTAAAGTTTCACATGCAAAAATTCAAAATCACTCCAGATTTAAAAGGCCTTGGGACTTGAAGAGAAATAATATCATTTAGTCTAAGAAACAAGTTGGCTAAAGGAATTTAAATATTCTTAAAATCATATATTGTTGCTAAGTTAACCTGTGGCACTTATCCTTATCCTTTGCAAAATCCATATTTTTAAGACATAGAGTTACTGGAAGTGATTAAAATAAAATGCTTCTCACCTCGTATACATTGAATTGGGACTGCCCTCTAGAAAGTTCCCGGTAGCTTGTTGTAAATTCTCCAATGATATCGTGACTAAAAAGGAAAAAAGTATACATTAAGTCTAGTGATCGTGGAAAAAGCTTGCTATTATTATGCATGTAATAATTAGTAACTCTAAGAGATGGATATATCATTGTCCTCTAATTCAAAATCATGTATATACAAGTCTTATTTTTATTAATATTCAGATGTGTAGTCCACCAAAATTCATTTTTACATAGGTATATTAGTATTAAGATCTGCAATCTCAAAAATATTATTTGTTATTAAAATAATTATTTAATAGGATGAAAATTGGAGACACTCCAATTTACTCATCAATGAAGTAATCAAAAATATACAGAAATCTTCAAACTTTCCTGTGGCTGGGGGTAATAAGACACCACTACAGAAAGAAATGACATGCTAGCGTGTCTAACAGTCACCAATCTGCTCTTTAATGACAGCAATTAACAAGTGTTTTGCTAGCACCAACCTGGTAATTCTAAACGTCATCACTACTTCTCGGGGGCCTTCTCAGTTTAGTGAGGAGGGGAAAGAAATGAGTAACATGGGTGAGTTCTCACTGAGGCTGACCCACGCTTGCACAAAATAAACGTTCAGCACTCAGCCGCAGGGAGAGGACTTCTATTCTACTCTGGAGTCAACGTAATGCCCAATACTATGCTGAACACACAATGCTCTCTCCCTTTCTGTCTCTCTCTCTCCCCGAGGCTGGCAGGGTGGAAGAGGGCGCCCCGCCACCCCCCGGCATCCCGCCCCACCACGACCCCCTCTACAGCTCGGCTGAGTCGCCTCGCCAAGAGCGAGTCTTGCAACCCGGGGCATTTTCTGGGGAGACGCCCAGTCTGAGGGCTGCTGGTACTGACGGGGAGGGACAGGCGTCCGGGACGGCCGGGTGAGCGGGTCCTGGCGGGGTGGGGGGCAGGGCCGCGAGGCTGGCAGGGTGGAAGAGGGCGCTCAGCGTAGCACCACCTCGAGGGGACAGGGAGGGCCGGCCCGGATGGCTAGGGCCGCTGGAAGTCTCGCAAGAGTACGAGCTGGGCCCCAGGGGCGCCTCCTGGCAGGGCATCCCGCTGCCCAGCGGAGGCCTGGCGACCAGGATGCCGGACCCGTCCCGTGAGCTGGCCCCGCTGCCCGGCCCAGGCGCGACGCCAACAGATGCTGCGGGGCTGGAGGCGGGCGACCCTCAGCCGGTAGCGGCCCGCGCGGTCCGCACCAGCCTCGACAGCCGCCGCCGTCGCCCACCCCGGCGCTCGCCGCTCGCCGCTCCAGGGCCTTACCGAGGCACTGCCCCACCGGCGTGCTGAACGGATTCCCCAGCAGGAACTCCATCTTGCACGGAAAGCGCGGCGGCGGACGGGGCGTCCAGTCTGCCCGCCCGGGTCTCCGCCGTCCCCAGCCGCGGTCCCCGACCTGACTGACACTTGCCCCCGCCCCACCCTCAGGAACGCCGAGCCCCGGGCCCTTGACCACGCCCCCTTGTCGCGTCTCTATTGGGCAACGCCTACACAGCCCTCATCCGATTGGCCTTCGCCTCTACCTCAGTGAAGCTCCCACCCACCCCGCGGCGTCCGATTGGCCGGAGAGCGAGCTAGGTCGCTGGAGTCCCCGTCAGGCGTAGCGGCACCTCCCCTGGCCCGCCTCCGAAAGAGAGGCTTTGCGTGTTGATTCGTCCATATATCGGTCAAGCTAGAGAATCCTTAGTATTATTGGATAAAAGACGAGTCAATCACTTAAATAGGGACAGGGAGAGGAGGTGGATCTACGAAGATCCCCGCCCACAGAAAGTGCTGATTGGGTAAACGTTTGTTTTCTCTAAGCCTGGTTGGTGTGGTAGGATTTCCCCGCCCCGAGAACTGATCACGTGATGCGTCCACTTTCACCCAGGATGTCTACCTCTTAACTTCCCCTTAGCGACCGAGCGGGCGGCGCTTGGTTCCCTAGCAACCGGGGGACGCTGTTGCTGCGCAGACCCAGCCCGGAAGCCGGCGCCTGAGAGGAGAGGAGAGGAGACCCGGGGCGGACAGCGGGGAGAGAGGTCGGTCCACTAGTGTGCTCCCCAGATAACCTCAAAAGCCCAGGTCTCCCGCGTGGGCGGTGGGGCCGCGAGCACCTGAGCCGGCACCCGCCCCTTCCCAGGTGTGCATTGTTAGCAGGAAGCGGGAGCCAGGAGCTCCCGGGACTCGAACCCCGGCACCCCAGCACGAGACGTGGGTGCCCCAGCGGTGTCCTAAGGGCTGCCGAATCCCACGCCCACCTCTGCGAAGTGAGCTCACGGCTCCTGGGCCAGCCACCTCACGCTGGCTTCAGCCGGCCACATCACTTAGTCTTGGGCTTTCTTTGGGTGAGGAAGGAGAGGGTAAGGGCGCAGGGCCAGAAAAGATTTTTTTTTTATTTTTTTAATTTTTTTTTTTAATTTTTTTTTTTTTTTGACAGGCAGAGTGGACAGTGAGAGAGAGAGACAGAGAGAAAGGTCTTCCTTTGCCGTTGGTTCACCCTCCAATGGCCGCCGCGGCGGGTGCGCTGCGGCTGGCGCACCGCGCTGATCCGATGGCAGGAGCCAGGAGCCAGGTGCTTCTCCTGGTCTCCCATGGGGTGCAGGGCCCAAGCACCTGGGCCATCCTCCACTGCACTCCCTGGCCACAGCAGAGAGCTGGCCTGGAAGAGGGGCAACCGGGACAGAATCCGGCGCCCCTGCCGGGACTAGAACCCGGTGTGCCGGCGCCGCTAGGCGGAGGATTAGCCTAGTGAGCCGCGGCGCCGGCTAGATTTTTTTTTTAAAGATTTATTTTATTTCTTTGAAAGACAGAGTTAGAGGTAGAGCCAGAGAGAGGTCTCCCCTTCACTGGCCCACTCCCCAAATGACCACAACAGCCAGAGCTGCACCAATCCGAAGCCAGGAGCCAGGAGCTTCTTCCAGGTCTCCCACGCTGGTGCAGGGACTTGGGCCAGCTTCCACTGCTGTCCCAGGCCGTAGCAGAGAGCTTGGTTAGAAGAGGAGCAGCCGGGACTAGAACCGGCGTCCATATGAGATGCTGGCACATCAGGCCAGGGCATTAACCCGCTGCGCCACAGCGCCAGCCCCTTAAACCTTTCCATACACGGTGTGCTTGCTCTCCTGTCTGCTGATCATTCCTCCAGGTTCCGGCTGTCATCGTCAACCTCTGCACGTCCGTGTGATCATTCTCCCTTGGCTTTGGCTGGGAATGCAGGGTCGTCCCTGTTAGTTACTCCGCTGTGTGACCTTGGCCAAGTACCTTCTTCCCCTCCACCGCGTATCTGAACCCTGTGCCGTGTCCCGGCCTGCAGAGCTGGCGTGTAATTCAATAGTGCGTGTGCGCAGAGTCCACGCAAACCCTGTTAGTGGCTGCTCCCCTCCTTAGTAATTCATGGGCACTGGGAACTGTGCGTCGCAGAGCCGATTGGCCCACGGTTCCTGTTTCCCAGGAAACTGCTGCACCTGCTTCCCGGCGAAGAGGCTCTTCAGGTCGCAGCGGCGTCAGACTCGAAGCTGCTGTCTCTGCCGCCTAACTCTGGGCTCACTGACGCCACTGACAGGCAAGTCGGCAGGGACCTGGCCTGGGTGGGGAATTACTGACTGTATCCCCACAGCACAGGGCTGTTTGGGCCTCATCCCTGACCCGGGACAGCTGTGAGAAACCTTGTGCACGGTGGCAGTGAGAGTGTCTGGAACCCTGGGTACAGCTGAGCCATGCTTAGAAAGATGGGTCCATTTCTTACCTGGAAACTGGGGTTCGTCCTATGTGTAAATCGAGTCCCCAGGGAGCTCTCAAGTGTGACCCCCACCTCGGTCGTCACCAACCTCACTCCTCTTGGAGTTCTCAGTACTGTAGCTGGAATGTGCTTCTTAGAATTATTAAAGTCCAGGGGCCGGCGCTGTGGCGCAGCGGGTTAATGCCCTAGCCTGCAGTGCTGGCATCCCATATGGGTGCTGGTTCGAGACCCAGCTGCTCCACTTCCGATCCAGCTCCCTGCTAATGGCCTGGGGAAGCAGTAGAAGATGCCCAAGTGCTTGGGCCCCTGAACCCACGTGGGAGACCCATAAGAAGCTCCTGGCTCCTGGCTTCAGATCAGCTGCAGCTCCAGCCATTACAACCATTTAGGGAATGAACCAGCAGATGGAAGACCTCTCTCTCTCTCTCTCTCTCTCTCTCTCTGTCTGCAACTCTGCCTCTGAAATAAATAATCTTTAAAAAATAATAATTATTAAAGTCTGGGCATGGGTGGCTTAACCAGGGCCCAGGGTAAGTAGCCACCCCTGGCTCCTGACTCCAGCCCCGCATCAATGCAGACCCTGGAGGCAACAGGGGAGGGCTCGAGTGCTTGGGTTCCTGCCACCCACGTGGGAGATCCAGATGGAGTTTTTAGCTCTTCTGGCTTTGGCCTCAGCACAGCTCAGCCCAGCCCTCACCGTCACAGGCATGTGACGGCTGTGCTGCTTCCGTGGGCAGAAGGTGGGATAGCAGTGGCACGTGTGGCCAGGGCCAGGTTGGGAGTGGAAGGTGCATACCTGCGTCAGGTGCATCCAGGCGGGGGGCGAGGAGGAAGAATCGGTGAGGATGCCCCCTGTCCCACCTCACAGGGCCTGTATTTGATTTCCAGCTCTGCTTCCCCACTCCAGCTTCCTGCTGGCCCACACCCCAGAAGCAGGAGTGATGGCGCGAGTGGTTGAGTCCCTGCTGCTGGTGCGGGAGACCTGGATGGAGTTTAGGGCTCTTAGCTTCACCCTCTCACCCTGCCCACCCCTCCACTGGGAGCACCTGCTTGCACTCGCGTCCCCCTCCCTGCCCTGCCCCCTCTGTCTCTGTTTCTGCTTGTCAAAAACAATTTTTTTAAGATTTATTTATTTATTTGAAAGGCAGAGTTAGAGAGAGAGAGAAAGAAAGAGAGGTCTTCCATCCATTGGTTCATTCCCCAGTTGGCCGCAACAGCCAGGGCTGTGCTGATCTGAAGCCAGGAGCCAGGAGCTTCTTCCGGGTCTCCCACGCAGGTACAGGAGCCCAGGCACTTGGGCCATCTTCCACTGCTTTCCCAGGCCACAGCAGAGAGCTGGATCAGAAGTGGAGCAGCCGGGACTCGAACCAGTGCCCATATGGGATGCTGGCACTGCAGGGGGCGGCTTTGCCTGCTATGCCACAGCGCCGACCCCCAAAAAGAAATGTAAGAGATCACAGAGACCTTAAGAGAAAGGGATGGGAAATGCCCACAGAAGGAGACACAGAACTCGCAAGGCCTGGACTCGGGCGCGTTAGGGACTGAAAAGCCAGCAGGAGGAAGACAGTGTCTGTCTGTGTCAGTCTGTCTGTCCTGTGTGTACCCCCCAGCCCCCATCTTCCTCTCTCTGCCTCTGTGTCTGTTCCTCCTGTTCTTGGCTTCGCCCTGTGCCCGGCCAGGCCAGCTGTGGGGTCCCCACCTCTGCTGAGCACCCTCATCCCCGGTCCTGAGTCTCAGGAGGCAGGGACACGAGTGGGCAGCTTGGGTCAGTGCCTCACCGAGCACTGGACCTGCAGGGGACAAGGCAACTGCCAGCCGGCAACTTGACCGGGGCTGCCAATGGTTGGCACCAAGAGACCTGGACGGGGAGGCCTGGCACCAGGCCACAGCCCAGTGGGACCAGCTGTAGCTGTGGGGCCGAGAGATGGACCCCGGCAGGTGGCCCAGGTGCTTGCCAGGAGCACCCAGAGCTCCCTGGGGACACATGTACGGACCCTGAGGGGCAGCCCTCCGAGTTAAGACGCCGTCACAGGACCTGGCGTTGTGGGTTAAGCCGCCGCTTGTAACGCCCACATCTCATATTGGAGCGCTGGTTCGAGTCCTGGCTGCTCCACTTCCCATCCAGCTCCCTGCTAATGCGCCTGAGAAACAACAGACGCTTGGGAGACCCGGATGGAGTCCAGACTCCTGGCTTTGCCCTGGCCCAGCGCTGGCTGTTGTGGCCATTTGGGAAGTGAACCAGCAGATGGAGGATCTCTCTCTTCCTCCCTCTCTCCTCCCCCCTCCCCTCCTTCTCTCTCTGTCCTTCTTTTCAAAGAAAGAAATCTTGGGTTAAAAAAAAAAAAAAAAAAAAACAAAAACAGGAAACAGAGAGAAACCGTAAGAGAAACCTCAGGGAGGGCCGGCGCTGTGGTGTAGCGGGTAACATGGCCGCCTGCAGTGCCTGCAGCCCTTAGGGGCACTGGTTTGAGACCCGGCTGCTCCTCTTCCAATCCAGCTCTCTGCTGTGGCCTGGGAAAGCAGTAGAAGATGGCCCAAGTGCTTGGATCCCTGCATGCCCATGGGAGACCCGGAAGAAGCTCCTGGCTCTCGACTGGCCCAGGTCTGACCATTGCAGCCATGTAGGGATTGAACCAGTGGATGGAAGACCTCTCTCTCTCTCTCTCTCTCTCTCTCGGTCTTTAACTGTGCCTCTCAAATAAATATTTAAAAAATAAAAGCAAGGGAGACCTCAGCAGTGCCTGTCCCCCGACGGAGGAGGGGTGCGGGGCCTCAGGAGGGCGGGGCCTCAGGAGGGCGTGGCGCTGTCTTGCAGGGAACATGAGCCGGCTGCACAACTCCATAGAGCCGCGCGTGATGGACGACGAGATGCTGAAGCTGGCCGTGAGCGAGCAGGGGCCTCGCGAGGAGGCCGGGCAGCTGGCCAAGCAGGAGGGCATCCTCTTCAAAGATGTCCTGACCCTGCAGCTGGACTTCCAGAGTGCGTGTCCATGTCCCCTGGTCCCCCCGCCCGGGGACGGGAGCAGCACCCTTGCCCCTCCCCCCCCCTCCAGGAACCCACTGCGGGCTCCTGCACGGATGCGCTGAGGACGCCATACTTAGTGCCGTCGTCGTGTGGCTGTCCACAGCACCCCTGACCTGATTGAGAACAGAACAGATTAGAAACCCGTCCTGCTGCCAGTCTAAGCCCCGAGGGGACCCCACACTGGTGTGCAGCAGGGAGCTCCCAGCAGGTAGAAGCTAGGGGTCCTATGCAGCCGGCAGCTGGAGATAGGAAGCAGGGGCCCAGTAGCCTTGGTGGGGGGCGGGGGCGGGGGCGGGGTGGCTGAAGAAAGGGCAGGGAAGCAGGAGGGCGCAGGGCGCCTGAGGCCGAGAGGCAGCCCGTGGACGATGGGGCTGGGGACAGGTGGATCCCTCCCGCCTCGCGTCCCCAGCGGTGGAATGGGCGCCTGCAGCTCCCGACGGGAGACAGCCCTGCCGGGCAGAGCGAGGGCGTTTCGAGAGGAAGTGGGGAGAGCTTTGCGGGGATCCTGAACCCCCCGTGCTTTGTGCACCTGCTCTGATCCTCATCCCTGCTCCGTCTTGAGCCCTCCAGGCTGCCCAGGCGACCAGCCAGCAACAAGGAGGGAGCGGGATTCCCTGGTGGGCAAGACGGGGTGTGGTCCAGGCCGGCCTTAATTAAGAAGCCTGTGGCTGACCGCCCCTCCCCCGTCCTGGGTGCTCAGCCTTCGCCGCCAGGGCACCTAGCTTCTTCCTCCAGGGCAGGGCAAGAGAAGGTGAGGCGTCTCGGTGCCGCCGTGCGCCGGCCCAGAAGCCCACGCGCCTCTCTCCTCTGGTCTTTGTAGACATCCTGCACATTGACAACCTCTGGCAGTTCGAGAACCTGCGCAAGCTGCAGCTGGACAACAACATCATCGAGAGGATCGAGGGCCTGGAAAACCTCGTCCACCTGGTCTGGCTGGGTGAGGCCCCTTCTGCGCATGCGTCTGCTCCCGCCCACCTGCCAAGGTTGTGCCGCGCCCCGCCCCGCCTCCCCGCCTCTGCCCCCCACCCCGGGAGACGGCACTCTCACACTTGACCCTCAGCTACCTGGGCACGGTCCTTAGCCTGGGCACGGCTGCTGTCTTTCAAAAGACCCGGGATCCACACTGGACAGAGCACAGCACAGACGGGCCATTCTGCTGCCGCCCGCCGGCCTCTCAGGCTGGGCGGGGCGCTCAGGGGGCTGCTACAGACTCCTCCCCTTCAATTTCCACTCGGATTGACAGGTAGCCACTGACTGGCAGGGCCCCGGGAGCAAAGCAGCAATAGTCATCGCAGAAGCCGGTGGGCCTGTGCGTGGGCTCCGTGAGCTCCGTGACCCCACACAAGCACCCAGCACCCCCACTGTGCAGATAAGCAAACAGAGGTCACAGTGCCTAAGAGCGACATGGGCTCTGGCCCTCCCTGCCCAGGCCTGGGTGGGGAGGATGAGGCCGTTTGGATGAACAGGGGCCATGCACTGGCCTCCCAGGGGCATCTGGTGAGGGGCAGGTAGGCACCCAACAGGGAGAAAAGGATGGGCCTGCTGCGTTCCCACAACAACCCTAGGATACAGGTGCCTGGTACAGTCTACGCAAGAGGAGCCAAGGCTCAGAGAGGCCAAGGCGCGTGCCCAGAGCCAAGGACCAAGCAGTAGCAGTGCTGGGACTTGGACCCACACCAGTCTGACCCCAAAGCCCAGTGTTCTTCCCGCCCCCAGCACACACACACACACACACACACACCCCTTACCCAGCATTCCTTACTGCTGATTCCTGGGCACGGTGGCCTGTCCACACCATCAGGAGGCCTCTCTCTCTCTAGCCAGCCCTGAGCCACCGCCCCCACCCAAGGCCACCCTGCACGGGCCATCTGAATGCCACTGTTTTTTTTTTTTTTTTTCCTTTTAAAGTTTCATTGAGAGCTTCCATCTACAAGTTCTGCACCCCCCAGCACAGTGGCAGGGCCCCGGGCTGGGCCAAAGCTAGGAGGCACGTGGGTGGCAGGAACCCACGGCAGGGACCTCCCAGGTCTGCATTTAGCAGGAAGCTGAGTCAGGACCAGAGCTGGGTGTGAAACCCAGGATCTCCACTGTGGGACGCGGGCATCTTAATTGGCACATTAGCCAGCAGCCCAGCCCCCACACCCACCCGGGACACAGGGCCGAGGGTGCCAGGTGTGCCTAGTGTCCTGCATCCTGGGATGCTCTGTGGGTAGCTTGGAATTGGCCACAGTGGGAGTATGGACACCCACCCATCCCCCGGAACTGAGAAAGAACCACAAAGCAGGGCTTCCCCCAACCCCTGCTGTTAAACACTCACCACGCGTTCTTAGGGGCTGGGCCAGGCCCCTCAAGAACAGAACCTGGGGGCGAATGTAGTGGTGCAGTAGGTGAAGCCACTGCCTGGGACACCAGCCTCCCACGTGAGAACCAGTTCTGCTCCACTTCCCATCCAGCTCCCTGCTAATGTGCCTTGGAAAGGCAGCAGAAGATGGCCCAAGTGCTTGGGCCTCTACCATGCAGCCCGAGCTGTTGCAGCCATTTGGGGAGTGAACCAGTGGATGCAGCCAGAGGCAGGCATCAAACACGTGATGTGGACATCTTAACCTGCATCTCTCTCTCTCTCTCTCTCTTAGATTTATTTAGGCAGAGAGAATCTTCCATGCATTGATTCATTCCCCAAACCAATCCAAAGCCAGGAGCTTCTTCTGGGTTCCCCAACAAGGTCTTGGAACATCTACTGTAGCAGAGAGCTCTATTGGAAGTGGAGCAGCCAGGACTCGAACCGGCGCCCTATGGGATGCCGGCGCTGCAGGCGGTGGCTTTGCCCGCTGCGCCACAGCGCTGGCCCCGAACCTGCCTCTTAACCATCGGGCCAGCTGCCTGCCCCTGCCGACTCGGAACTGACTGCAGACATCGCCTCAGTTTCTGTGCTGTGCTATCTGCAGCAGGTCGCCAGGGGGCGCCGTTGAGTCCCAGTTCCCTCATCTGCGGTGGGATGACGACACCTGTGCTATGAGGATTAAATAAGGCGGTGCCAGTCCAGGGCCTGGCACAGAGCAGGGGACAAGGAGATGTTGGCAGTGTCACCCGTGCACAGATGGGCGTCGCGGACATGCAGACGATGCTGGGGTTAAGCTGACTCCCAACTCACCCTTGCAAAGTGACCGCTTGTCTGCCAGGATTGTCCGTACTGCCAAGCTCAGGACAAATCCCCAGTGCCGGCCGCTGGCCCACTGGCCTCCTGCACAGGGTTACAACCCCAGCCACCAGCCAAGCCCGAAAGCTCGTGCCAGATGGGTTCCAGGACCCCCTGAGGTCACATCCCTGGATGCTCAAGTCCCCTGTGTAGAATGGCATAACACAGGGCCAGCGCTGTGGGGCAGCAGGTTAAGCCACCATCTGCAGTGCCAGCATCCCATAGGTTCGCCAGTTCAAGTCCTGGCTGCTCCACTTCTGATCCTGCTCCCTGCTAATGGCCTGGGAAAACAGTAGAAGATGGCCCAGGTGCTTGGGCCCCTGCACCCATGTGGGAGACCTGGAGGAAGCTCCTGGCTCCTGGCTTCGGATTGGCACAGCTCTGGCCATTGCGGCCATTTGGAGAGTGAGCCAGCAGATGGAAGACCTCTCTCTCTGTCTCTCCCTCTCTCTGTAACTCTGCCTCTCAAGTAAATAAATAAGAATAAATAAATCTGAGGGGGGGAATGGCATAACAGGAGGACACTTCAAAAAGTTAGTGGAAAAGTGAAATTAAAAGTTTCGGAGTCAGGATGTAGCCTTGCAGTGAGACACCTGCATTGTTGCCAGGCTCCACCCCCCACCCCAGTGCCCTCCCACTGCGGCCTCTGGGGGCAGTGGTGACGGCTCAGGTAGTTGGACCTCTGCCAGCCACCTAGAAGACCTGGACTAAGTTGCCGACTCCAGGCTTCAGCCTGGCCCAGCTTTGGCCCAACCCAGTCCTGATCATTGTGGACATCTAGGGAGGAGACAGCAAATGGTAGTCTCTCTTTTGCCTCTCAGATAAATAAATTGGTGTTTAAAAAGAAACCTTTATTTTGGGGCTGGTGTCCTGGCACAGTGGGTTAAGCCGAGGCCTATGTCACCAGCATCCCGTATTGGAGTGCTGGTTCCAGTCCTGGCTGCTCTGATCCAGCTGCCGCAAATGCACCTGGGAAAGCAGCAGAAGAGGCCCAAGTGCTTGGGCCCCTGCCACCCGTGTGGGAGACCCAGATGGAGTTCCAGGCTTCTGTTTTCAGCCTGGTCCAGCCACAGCTGTTGCAGCCATTTGGGGAGTGAACCAGCAGATGGAAGACCTCTCTTTGTCTCTCTCACCCGCCTCCCACCATCATTGTGCCTTTCAAACAAATAAGATAAATCTTTTTAAAAAAAAAAAAAAACACTTTATTTGGTGTAAATAATTTTTTAAAGATTTATTAATTTTATATGAAAGAGTTACACACACACACACACACACACACACGTCTTCCATCCGCTGGTTCACTCCCCAGATGGCCACATCAGCTGGAGCTGCACGATCCAAAGCCAGGAGCCAGGAGCTTCCTCCGGGTCTCCCACGCGGGTGCAGGGGTCTAAGGACTTGCGCCATCTTCCACTGCTTCTCCAAACCACAGCAGAGGGCTGGATCGGAAGTGGAGCAGCCGGGACTCGAGCCGGTGCCCCTATGGGATGCCAGCACTGCAGGCGGCAGCTTTACCCACTACACCACAGCGCCGGCCCCATCCGTGAACTTCTTAAAGTACCCTTATATTTGTGTGTAACTTACACCCATCCTTCCGAGTACTTTAAAGTATCTCTGGATTACTTCACAATACCTAAGCGGGGTAGATGAGATGCACACACACAGAGCACTGGATAAACCCGGAATTGCTACGCGGATGGGAGGCCTGAGGCTAGGGGCGTCCCTGAGCCCATGGTCTGCTGCCTCAGAGCTGCCGGTCTCCTCCGAGCTCTGACCCAGTGAGCGCCGCCCACAGGGGTGATGTGGTGAGCGTGTGAGGCTTCCAGAAATAATCGCAGGCTTTGCCCCGGGGGTGTGGAGGGCATGCCGCTTGCTGCCGGTCCGCAGAGCACCAAGTCCCCTTGATGGCCTCGCTCGAGGAGCGCCCACCGCCCAGCCCAGGCACCGGACAGCAAAGCCTCTTCACAGATCCGCCCCTTCCCTTCCCCCAGATCTGTCCTTCAACAACATCGAGGTCATCAAGGGCCTGGACAGCCTGGTGAACCTGGAGGACCTGAGCTTGTTCAACAACCGGATCTCCAGGATCGACTCCCTGGACGCGCTGGGCAAGCTGCAGGTGCTGTCGCTGGGCAACAACCAGATCGACAACATAATGAATGTGAGTGGACGACACGCACACACCCGTGCGCATGCGCGGGGCTCGGACAGGGCGGGGTCTGCCGCGTGGGCAGGTGCACCTGGAGCATCGCAAGTCTTCTCCCCCCTACCCCTAACCCACCTCCGCGTCGCTTGACAAGCCGGCTTAGTCCACCAGGGACCCGATCGTGTTGGGACAGCACGCTTCACAAAATCTGTCTGTGGCTGCCCGTTCACAGCCTTTGCCACGGCAACGTCTCGTTCTGCCCCCTCGGTCTCTGGCTCATTTAGCCAACGTTTGCCTGCTGGGTGCACTTGCTCTGTTCTCAGTGGGGACAGAGCCGGACAAGGCGGGTTCCCCTCGGGGCTGACCAGCCCACAGGTTAAAAGAACCCCTGGTGTCCCGTGTCCGCGGACGCCGGGGGCATCTGTGCGACACTGACAGTGGTCATCTCCAGGGAAGGCTGGTTGGCTGCCCCTGCACTCCCCACAGGGGGCTCCCAGCTCAGCAGGCTGGGGCTGAGACCGCCCCCCCGCAATAGCTGGGGGTCTGGCAGCCTCGGGAAGGGGCACACATCAGAGGTGACCCAACAGAGACCTTCCCCTGTGGTTCCTGGCCAGGGACCCTGGGAGCTGCCCCGAATTCCATTACTGCTTGGGTCAGATGGATGGCCTGGGCTGGAATCCCAGCTCTACGTGAGGCTGACTGAGATGGATGGCCCGGGGCGGCGGGGGAGGAGGTCAGTCACCCAGATGGTCCCTATACGTAAATCCATCCATCTGACGGGGCAAATCCTGGAGGCAGTGTAGTCTCAGTAGTCTGCCCTGTATGCCCCATGGAAGCCAGCGTGCTTGTCGGGGGTCCAGAACTGGTCGCACAGCCTGCCCCCTCCCTGCTCTGCTGGGGTGGGGGTGGGGGTGGGGGAGATCCACCGTGGACCAAGGACGTGGCCTTGGATCAAGGGCTGAGATTTTAGCCACCTCCCAGCTGTCTGAGCTGGGGCCAGCGTCCACTTGCCCATCTGTGAAATGGGCTCAGCCAGTAGAGCTGTAGCGAGGACCGAGTGGACCCCAGAGTGTTCAGTACCTGACATGTGTGAGAGGCAGGGTTGCTGGTTCCCAGAGTCGGGGAGAGAGAAGGCCCCTAGGGAGAAGCGGCCAGGGCCAGAAGCTCCTGCGGCCAGGCTGCACCCGGGTCCTGGAGACCCCGGTTGTCTCCACCTAGCTGTATCCGAGTGCCTGGGTTTGGGTCCTGGCTCTGCTGTCAGTTCCAGCGTCTTATGCTGTGCAGCCTGGGAGGGTGGGCAGGTGACGGCTTCCGTGCCACGTACGTGGGAGATCCGGATGGAGCTCCTGGTTCCCGGCTTCGGCCTGGCCCAGCCCCTGGCTGTTGCTGCCATGTGGGGAGTGAAAACAGTGAATGCAAGGTCTGTGTGTGTGTGCACGTGTGTGCGTGCGCCTTTGAAAGGCAGAGAAAGAGAGGGGAGGGGAGAGAGAGCGAGCTCTCCTCTGCCAGTTCACTCCCCAAATGGCCACAACAGCCGAGGGGAGGGCCACATCGAAGCCAGGAGCCGGGAACTCCATTCAGATCCCCCACTTGAGTGACAGGGATCTAAGCGGGTGCTTCCCAGGCGCAGGGGCATGGAACCGGATCAGAAGCAAAGCAGCCGGGACTCAGAACAGTACTCCAGTGTGGGGTCCCCAGACAGCATCTCAACCCATGAGCCACAGCGCCCATTTCAAAACACGCAGGACTTGAAGCAAAATCAGGGCCCCCGGGAAAGAGCCTCTGTTACCCCCTCACCCTCTGTACCTGCGTCCCTGGGCCGAGACCACAGCTGCGGCCAGGCATCCTGGCTCTGTCCAGCTGCCCTCCAAGCCCCGCCCTCATGTCCCGTCTCCACCCCCGTTAGCAGCCCACTCCGCTGCCTGCGCCATATTCCGATGCCACGCGATGTACTTCCCCCGTCCCTTGGAGGTGGATGCTGAAGTTGCTCCAAGCTGGTGGCATCACACAGACCACCTCAGATGTCCTTGAACCCCAGGATGACCTCGAGCAGGGGTCACGTGCGCCTGGGTCAGCCCACATGCTGACCCACAGCGAGGGTTGCTGGACCAGAAGGCAGGTGCATCTTCAATTTGGACGGCTCTCTGCCAGCTCGGCCTCCGGGGAAGTGGAACCGTTTACAAACCCCCCGGTGTGGCCCGCTGCCTGTCAACTTTCTATAGCGCGCTCGCTTCTGAGGCTTTTCTCTTTGCCTGCCAACAAGCTGAGAAATGGAATCTCACCGGGAGATCTCTAAAAATGAAATCCGGCCCCGTCTTTTCTCATACACGCTTCAAACTCCACTGGCTTCCATCATCCTTAGAGCAAAATCCAAACCCTCGACCACAGCCTGCATGTTTTTTTTTTTTTTAAGATTTATTTATTTATTTGAGAGGCAGAGTTTCAGACAGACAGAGGGAGAGACAGAGAAAGGTCTTCCATCCGCTGGTTCACTCCCCAGATGACCGCAATGGCCAGAGCTGGGTCGATCTGAAGCCAGGAGCCAGGAGCTTCTTCCAGGTCTCCCACGTGGGTAGCAGGGGCCCAAGCACTTGAGCCATCTTCTACTGCTTTCCCAGGCCACAGAGGGAGCTGGATCCGAAGTGGAACAGCTGGGACTTGAACCGGTGCCCATATGGGATGCTAGCGCCACAGGGGGCTTAGCCTACTGTACCACAGCACTGGCCCCAGCCAGCATGGTCTTACATGAACCAGCCCCTGACCTTGTCTCCACACTTGTATCAAGTCTTTCCTCCATCATACTGCAGCTGCCCCAGCCTTTCTCTGTTCCTGGTGTACCCTGAACTTGTCGCTGCCCCAGGGCCTTTGCCCGTGCTGTTTTGGCTCCTGAGAAAGTGCTCTCCTTGCACTACCACCACTGGCTCCCTCCCGTCTCCCATAAATGCCACCTCTCACGGTCGGTGCTGTCTTTACGTTCCTTGTAGCACTTTGCCTAGTCTGTGATGATCTACTTAATTTTAAAAACACTCCCAGCACCACCCACCGTGTA